TTGCAAATTACATGTCATCATGTGCCATACAAAAGTGTGTGTCTGGTGCATGTGTTTGGTTATCAATACTTACATGCTTAGTGTATGCATACTTCTCATGAAGAATTTAAATCTTTAAAATGTTGCCTTTTTCTTTTCTTTCTCTCTCTTTCTTTCTTTCCCTTCCTTCCTTCCTTCCTTCCTTCCTTCCTTCCTTCCTTCCTTCCTTCCTTCCTTTCTTTCTTTCTTTCTTTCTTCTGTTCCTTTCTTTCTTTCTTTCTTTCTTTCTTTCTTTCTTTCTTCATTTCTTTCTTTCTTTCTTTCTTTCTTTCTTTCTTTCTTTCTTTCTTTCTTTTCTTTCTTTCTTCGGAGTTTCGCTTTTGTTACCCAGGCGGGAGTGCAATGGTGCGATCTCGGCTCACCGCAACCTCTGCCTCCTGGGTTCAGGCAATTCTCCTGCTTCAGCCTCCTGAGTAGCTGGCACTACAGGCATGCGCCACCATGCCCAGCTAATTTTTGTATTTTTAGTAGAGACGGGGTTTCACCATGTTGACCAGGATGGTCTCGATCTCTTGACCTCGTGATCCACCCACCTCGGCCTCCCAAAGTGCTGAGATTACAGGTTTAGCCACTGCACCCGGCTGAAAGGAATATGCTGGACCTTAGCCTCTCCAGCATTATCACCATGTTATTCTCCCAAAACAGAGACCATATATCAGTTTATCGGTTTGCTTGAGCTGTTGCTTTCTTAACCTCAAACTTTTTCATGACTGTTCCATGAATGTATGGGTAACTCGTCTTCCCAGATTGTCTGAGGCCCAGTTTACATCTTCTGCCACCACATAATTATTCCTAGCCTCTCCTATATTCCCCAAAGTATCTTGGTTTGGATAACTGATGGGTCACTCTATTGGTCAGTATGTGTTTTTGCAACTCCAGACTTAATGTCAACCCTGTTTAAAGTTAATATTGAAGATACTCTAATTAGAGATGAAAGTAAATGTGACTGTAGGCACAAGGAAAGGAAAGAAGAAAAGTTAAGGGGCATAGCTCAAATGACCTGTTCAAGAATAATATTTTTTGAAATATTATATCTTTTCTTTAAATCTATACATTTCCCTCTGTATTATAGTATATATTTACTTTAAAATAAAAATACCAGCTTTAACATGAGAATTATAAAGGAAATACGTCTTTAAACAGTTTCAGTCAATTAAGGACATGCATTTTCCTTATGTCTATTTTAGGAATTTGGCATGAATTGAAGAATAACAAACATCAGATTAAACTCCCAGTCAATTTCACTTCCTTTTGTTGTCACCAAATATCTTGAGAACCCCAGCCTTTATGAATATATGTATTAAAAATTCAAATATTGTTTTCACTGGTTTGTCATAAGCAGCCCTGAATATAAATGTTCACAATTTTCAAAATTTTGCCAAAGACTATGCGTAGCTACCAGATGGAGGCCTTTTGGATTCAGTTTCCTGATGTTGCTGAAAGGTTATACATAAATAAGTTTGTTAAGTTTTTTATATATATGTATAATTTTTTCAGGATGGGAACTTTGTTGATAATAACATTGTTTAAGTGACACTGTAAATCTAATTTTGAGCTTCTTATAATTTCTGCAGTCAACTTTCTTCTTCCAAATCTCTTAATTTGTTCTGAAGTTATTTTCTTATATAAATAAAATCATCTAGGCTTGCATTGCAGCAGTTGATTGAAATTTTATCTTTTTTTAATAAATGAAAGCTTAATATGCATACTTTCTAAAGAGAAATTATTTTATTTTTTCTCTTTAGATGGAAGTTTATTTTCTAAACTTTCCATCTCTTTAGATGGAAGTTTATTTTCTTTAGATGGAAGTTTATTTTCTAAAGAGAAATTATTTTATTTTTTCTCTTGAGATGGAAGTTTATTTTTCTTCATGAATAAACCTGACAATTCCATACAAATAAAGAAACCTTACTAAGCTAATATCAGGATAGTACAATGAATGTTTAATGTTATTCTCATTAAAAACAATAACAACGAGGATTTAGATTCCTTTTTATAACACACACACGGATATAATTTTTACATTTTAAATGAAAACAAATAAGTTAACAATAACAGAAGCCTAATTGTATGAGAAATTTACTCATTAGGGCTTTATTTTTGCTCTATATATTTGAGAAATGCAGTTAAGCTAATTACTAGTATCCTTGCATAAGGACACATCTTCCTTTGCTGCTGGGACAGCATGGTCCATATCTGAACATGAAGCCTCACCGTTTTCTTCCCTATGACTCTATGATGTATCAACCCATCTTCCAAGATTATTTTAAAGTTGACTCCAAGTAATAGTTAAGTATTTTAAACAAAACGTTTTTTGTTAGAATTTGCTTTTCTTTAAATTTAGAATTTGCTTTACTTAACTTGATTCTAAACTTGATTCTCTCTTCTGGATTGCAAAAGATTATTACACATTGTATGCATGTATTAAAACCACATAGATACTCTATAAATATTTATATATAATCTATGTACCCATAAAAATTAAATATACTTTTTAAAAAATTCTGTTAATTTTTCCTTTAAGCTTTGTAGATTTTATTTCATATGCTACTGCTAGAATAATCATATATAGGGTTTTCTCTCAGGACAGATGCTAAGATTTCAGCTCATTTGTATCTCTGTAACAATAAACACTATATTTCAAACAAACATTTTTATTATAATAACAATTTATTTCAAAGAATGTGATGAATAGGATATGTTCTAAGCACAATATTTGTATAAACTCATTTAATAATCCAAACAAATATGTAGATAAACAGGAACTGTTATGCATTGTTGGTGGGAAAGTAAAATGATAGAAACACTAAGTAAAACACTAGGGTGGTTTCTTTTAAAAAGTTAAAAACCTAATTAATTTAACTTCTGGACATACACCCAACAGAACTGAAAGCAAGATCTCATAAAAAAATTTTCATGCTCCTCTTCACAGCAGCATTCAAAATAACCATCCAAGCACCCACTTCATTTTGGTTACTTTATAAAAAAATTATGGTGTCTATAAAATCAAATATTTAGCCTTAAAAAAGAAAAATATTTCTTACACACGCTGCATGAATGTACCTTAAGAACATTATGTTACTTGAAATAAACCAGTTACAAAAAGACAAAAACTGTCTGATTACAAATTTATGAGGTATTTTGAGTAATCAAATTTATAGAAACAGAAGTACAATGGTGGTTGCCAAGGACCAGAGGGAGGATAAGTGGTCCTTTAATGGGCAGAGATTTTCAGTTTTGCAAGATGAAAAATTCTGGAGATTGATTGCACTGCAATGTGAATATACTTAACACTACTGAACTGTAATGGTACATTTTATGTTATATGTATTTTCCCACACTCAAAAAAAGAAGAAAACTCAAAAAACTGTATAAAGAAGATGGTATTATTCCCAGTGGGGCAATGGAGGCACAGAGAGGCTATATGTCATGTCCCACTCACAAAGCTGGTTAGTGATTGTGTTTGGGATTTAAAGCCCAAGACTTGTGCTTCAACCCTCCCTCTTGCTCACTAGGTCTCTCCCACTGCCTCCGGTGTGCCTGCTGCTGTTTTCCTAGCTTCACAAGTTGTGGCTGGGTTAGAATAATCACCTTTTTCACTGATAATTTTCTTTAAGAAGCCTGAGGCACAATTCCACAGGTTTCCAATATTTGTCAGATTTCAGGCTGTCTGAATGTCTTTTATTATCTTGCGTATTTAATTGGTTTTAAACTTACATAGCAACTTTCAATAGCAGAATTGCATACTCAGTTGAAAATATAATCTGTTCAACTTTTGTTTTTAATAGTTAACTACTGCCAAAGGTTAAGCTGTACAGACTCTCTGTCTTTGAAATGTGTCAGTTGACTGCATGAAGGTTGGTAGGAAGAAAACATGGTCTGTGGGAGCCAATGGCTTTATGTGTCATCAAAAGGAGAAAAAAAAAGTCTTAGTTCATAAAATCACAAAATCATATTTAGAAAATAAACAAGTTAGCCTAGAAAGGTAACTTTCTAAGGTAGGGCATCTCAGAAAAGTCAAACTTTTCAGGTTCTCAATCAAAGAGACATAGATTGACCTATGACAGTCTCAATGTTCTCCATGTGCCTGTGCCTAATTCACTGGCGTCATTATGCTTTCCCGTAAGGGCAACAAAAAAAATAAACCCCTTTTCTCTGGATTCTCTCTTTAATACACTTCCACCTTCTTTACAAAACCAAAATAAAACAATCCTGGCTGACAAAGATTAGGAATCTGTTGGCATTATCTTTTAAGAAGAAACTATGCTTTACATTTCTTTAACAACTGTTTAAGTTAAATTCAGAGTCTAAAGGAATGTGCCAGTTTTCCTCTGGTCATCCTGACTTTCCCAGGCCTACATAGCTATAGCTACAGGGATAGGAGCTTGGCTGTTGTAGTTGTGTAGAAGTTTGAGACGAGTGCTCTTAACAAATGGATTGATTTCCACTTGTTTCTTGTTTATGCCATTTTGCATACCAAAAGAAGAAAAAGCCAAGAGTTGTGGAAATGATTAGAGTGTTTTTGTTTCTACTGCCAAAGTAATTAATTGTTTCACCTTTAATATGTTTGATCTTTAATGATGTTGGAAACTCATGTTTCTTCCAGATGGAAACATACACTGACACACACACACACACACACACACACACACAGTTTTTATTTTTGTTATGGCCAAAATTATTAGAAAACATTCTTATAAGATATAGAGAAGCAACAATTTTGATCCACTAACCCTTCATGTTCTTTCCCTCTGCATTTCTCAGACCCTTTGAAGATGGCAGAGTGCTTAAAATCTAGACAATCTGTGCCTGTGCTGACTCAAGGCCACCACCCTGATCCATTTCCTGGCTTTCTGGCTTTGTTAGCTGTTGAAACAGTGGAGCTTGCCTCCTATGTGTATGCGTGTGTGATTGTGGGTGTGGGTAGTTTAAACTTTTTGTATCTTAGCTGCCTGTAAAGTAGTCAATGATTGCTACCTTCAGATCAAACTTTGAACTTGTTTATTTTTTGGGTGACGGGAGTGAGCCTTCCTGGGCTCACCATCCCCTGCCAGAACCACCACTGCTTCCCAGGGTTACTCTGCAGCAGCTTCAGTGGCTGAAAGTGAAAACTGAACAAAGGGATTAAATTTTGAGGTAAAATTTGCTTTTCAATTCCTTTCCTTGAAGTTTTGTCCTACCCCCACAGACTATTGTGTGCCTTAGAACAATTTCTGTTTTGAACATATTTTATAATTAGAAAGTCTTTTGCTTAATTCCAATTTTCTTACAGGAAACTCTGTTTTTGTTTATGCTGTCTAAAATCTCTCAAGCTCTCAATGTTCAATTTTATTTTTCTAACTCTTTGAAGCATGGCAGGAATGGAGGTCTCATCAAACTGTAAGCCACTTAAGGAAAAAGAAATCCTTTTCAAGTTTCATTTATCTGCTCGCATCTTTCATCCAGTCCCACTCACGTGCTTGCATGCACACATATGCATATGTACACACACCCTTAAGGTGCATTCCAAAATATAAAATATGTCATTGACTATATTTATCTAAGTAGCTGGATTTGATGTGTACCAGATAAAGCTAAACTTTGTCAGAATATGACAAATGGAAGAAATTATTATTTCTAATTGAAAGAAAAATACAGACTTAATGTTAAATGACTCAATTTCTTCTAAAACAGGCATTCTTTTTTATTTTTCTCTTTTGTTCCATTAATATTCCTTAAAGCCAATTTTAGACATTTCAATTTTCAGTCTATGACTCATCTTAAATAGGCAGTCTTAAGATCCCATGTAGACTATAATTTACCACATGAGCAGAGCTGGGCAAACTAAAGTGCACTCCTGGGTTGCCACTCATTTTCTGTGTTTCTTTGAGCAGACACTATAAAGATTTGTTTCCTAATCTTATCCAAAAAATGTAAGACTTATCTTTTCAGGGTAGGTAATGATTAGAGATCATATACATGAAACAAGATTGATACAATTTGTTTTAAAAGACACTGAATTCATTTTGATAAGTCATTTACATACACCCTGGATTATTAGATAATTAAAGGTGATTTAATGTCATTTTCTCAAGTTTTAAGAGCCAACAAATTAGTTGAGGATCTTACTAAACTGTAGGTTCTGGTTCTGGGTTGAAGGCTGAGATTGTACATTTTTAACAAGCTATCAGATAAGACCAATAGCACATGGAACTTGTACGTGGACTATAATTTTTTTAAATCTTTTTTTTAATTGCATTGTAGGATTTGGGGTACATGTGAAGAGCATGCAAGACAGCTGCATAGGTACACACGTGGCAGTGTGATTTGCTGCCTTCCTCCCCTTTACCTATATCTGGCATTTCTCCCCATGCTATCTCTCCCCAACTCCCACCCCCCACTGTCCCTCCCCTGTTCCCCCCAACAGACCCCAGTATGTAGTGCTCCCCTCCCTGTGTTCATGTGTTCTCATTGTTCAACACCCACCCATGAGTGAGAACACGCGGTATTTCATTTTCTGTTCTTGTGTCAGTTTGCTGAGAATGTCATCCATGTCCCCACAAAGGACATGAACTCATCCTTTTTTATTGCTGCATAATACTCCATGGTGTATATGTGCCACATTTTTCCTGTCCAGTCTATCATCGATGGGCATTTGAGTTGGTTCCAGGTCTTTGCTATTGTAAACAGTGCTGCAATGAACATTCGTGTGCATGTGTCCTTATAGTAGAATGATTTATAGTCCTTTGGATATATACCCAGTAATAGGATTGCTGGGTCAAATGGAATTTCTATTTCTAGGTCCTTGAGGAATCACCACACAGTCTTCCACAATGGTTGAACTAATTTACACTCCCACCAGCAGTGTAAAAGTGTTCCTATTTCTCCACATCCTCTCCAGCATCTGTTGTCTCCAGATTTTTTAATGATCGCCATTCTAACTGGCATGAGATGGTATCTCAATGTAGTTTTGATTTGCATTTCTCTAATGACCAGTGATGATGAGCATTTTTTCACATGTTTGTTGGCCTCATGTATATCTTCTTTTGCAAAGTGTCTGTTCATATTTTTTGCCTATTTTGAATGGGCTTGTTTTGTTCTTGTAAATCTGTTTGAGTTCTTTGTAAATTCTGGATATCAGCCCTTTGTCAGATGGGTAAACTGCAAAAATTTTTCCCATTCTGTTGGTTGCCGATTCACTCTAGTGACTGTTTCTTTTGCCATGGAGAAGCTGTGGAGTTTGAGTAGGTCCCATTTGACTATCATTTAAATAGAAATTGTGAATCAATTTTATACATACAAAAGAATAGTACAAATTAAAGTAAGATAAATAAATTGATCATTAATTATCAATTATTAAATTAAATTATTTAAGTAATCAACTTAATTCAATTAATACAATTAAATTTTATATGAATAAATAAATTGAATATTTATAAATTTAAATTAAAGTAAAAAAATGAAGAAAAGGCAAAGGATGAACTAAGACTTGAAATGGAGCCAGAAACTATGCTGTAAATGTATAATATAATATAATATAAACCACCTGCTATAAAGGGAATCAATTTATCTATACAATTTTAACAGATAGCATGAAAAGGGCATCTGCTTCTCCAATATTCATTCACTTTTTTTTTTTTTTTTTTTTTTGAGACGGGGTTTCGCTCTTGTTTACCCAGGCTGGAGTGCAATGGCGTTATCTCGGCTCACCACAACATCCGCCTCCTGGGTTCAGGCAATTCTTCTGCATCAGCCTCCTGAGTAGCTGGGATTACAGGCATGCGCCACCATGCCCAGCTAATTCTTTTGTATTTTTAGTAGAGACGGGGTTTTATCATGTTGACCAGGATGGTCTCCATCTCTTGACCTCGTGATCCACCCCCCTCGGCCTCCCAAAGTGCTGGGATTACAGGCGTGAGCCACCGCACCCGGCCCATTTACTTTTGCGTAGTATGCAGACATTGTATGAGTTGGTAAGTAAAGTTATCCTGCCACTAAACATTACGTCCTGGAGCTAATGAATATAGACTCATTTATTTTTTTCAATTAATTCATAATATACAATTGTTGAAATGAGGTATGCAATTGATATTTCCTTTAGATAAATTGGAAAGAAACAATTTGTTGAGAAATTAACAAAATAAAATGTTTCAGAAAGAGCTATTTCATTTCCTATATGAAAATCAAGTTTAATATTTGAATGTACTATGTTGAATTCTGTCGACACTCATTCCTTTATATCCAAACTGGAAATGTGCACTATTCTCAACATACTAGAAGATTCTCGATGAGAAGCGAAAGTCTCATTGTTCATCCATTCCTTCAATCAATTTATTCAATGCCAACTTCATCCCAAGTACACTACTTCCAGATTTACTTTCTCTTCTTTCAGCTTCCTGCTTCTGCTGACTTCTTGACCATCCATATTAATTTTTCCTTTCTTGAGCTGCCAACATGTTCCATAGTATTTCATGCTGGAAAATATTTTCTATCAGACTCAGCTTCTTTGCTAACAAAGGATTGCAAAGACTACCTGACATTTTGCTGGTAATGGAGGATAATGAAGAAGCATATAGAAGATAAATATTTAATATAGTTTTTCTAAAACGCTCCAATCACTCAGCCGGCATCCTTGTCTCAGGGTCTTGCATGCTCTAAACTGGTGTCTAATTTATTCTGAGACTACTTCTCCATTACTATCTTCTGTTCCAGATTTCTGAGGCCTACAACTTCATCACTTGATAAGCAGAAGGAAAATGCAAAACTCAAGTTATTTTTCTTCATTTTCACTCTATTTGTAGCATAAGATGCTATATGTTTCTAGACAAACATATTGTTGAATAATGACTTTTACTGGAAAAACAAAATGACACAGCATTTTTGTGTAAAAAGTATCATTACATGAATGATAGCATGTAAAATATGGTATGTAATAAATGTCTTACAATATAAAATGAAAAAATATCTACCCAAATTTCTCCCTCCTAGATTCCTCTGTGTGTGTGTGTGTAGATAGAGGTAGTGATGATGAAGGAGTTGACTTTGAAATACAAGGCTGTTATATTACCATGTTTTCCTAGTCAAAAGCATATCTCTTTCTATACCAATTAATATTAGGTAAACTACTTTAAGTTGTGGCTAGCTATGAAATTAGTAAATTTTGTTTGTGGGTCTCATTAAGAAAGTGACTATTGAGAGCTTAATAAATTACCTTTTTAAACTCCTCTGAAAAATTTTAGAATCACAAATTACTTATAAAATATTTCCAGAAAATATACTTAATCAATTAAGAACCTCTAATTGGCAATCTTTAAAGTTTAAAGTTATTTTACTAGAAGCGATGCAATTTCAGCTAAGATATCATGCCATTTATACTGCAATTAGTTCAAATCATCTCTATATAATAGCATACATGTTCTATGTTATCAAATCAATAGATCTTCAGAAATAAATGGAACAATCAATTATGAAGGAATCTATAAATTGTAAAATAAAATAAAAGTGTTGTAAAATAAAAAAATTATTAAAAGCAAAGCTATGATTTTACTTACAAAGTTCAGTGGAAATGAAGTGTAAAAAAATAAATAATAGATAGCTTTTTGAGATACTAATTTTACGTGTCCAATTGATGGGGCTACAGGGAACCCAGATATTTGATCAAACATTACTCTCTCTCTCTCTCTCTCTCTCTCTCTGTGTGTGTGTGTGTGTGTGTGTGTGTGTGTGTGTGTGTTTAGATGAGATTAAAATTTGAATTGGTAGACTGAGTAAAGCAGATTGCCTTCCCTTAGGTGAATGGGCTTCATGCAATCAGTTGAGGGCCTGAATAAAACCAAAAGAGTGACTCCCCTAGAAGTAAAGAGGAATTCCGCCTGTCTGACTGCCTTTAAACACATACATATATGACAAAGACTGAGAAACAGAGCAAGAAAGAGAGTGTGTATGTTAGTATTATTAGTACTGTGATTAAAATACTTATTAATTAAAGATTATACAAATTTTTTTCTTGTAAAATTGAATTGAAGTAACTTTCAATAAAGAATGGAATGATTTAGTTCGGTCCAGAATTTTAGCCAATGATAGGACGAAACTGAAGTTTACTTCCCTTGCTCACGTAGGGTATTCATTAAGGTACTACGGTTTGAATATTTTTCCTCTCCAAAACTTAGGTTGGAATTTAATCCCCAAGGTTGTTGTATTGAGAGATGGGGCCTTTAAGAGGTGATTGAGTGATGAGGCAGGTTGAGTCATGAGAGTTATCATGGGAGTGGGTCTGGTAGCTTTATAAAAAGAGGAAGAAGAGACCTGAATAGCATGCCCAACCCCTTGCCATGTGATATCCTCATCCACCACAGGAGGATTCAGAGTACCCACACCAAGAAGGCTCTCAACAGCTGCACACACACACACACACACACACAAATGAAAATAACCACACCTAGGAACATTATAATTCACTTGCTCCAAATGAGTGATAAAGAAATAAATTACAAGCAGGCAAAGAAAGCAGATGAATTACAAACTGAAGATCAAAGGTCAGAATGACAGAGCAGATTTTCTGTATAGAAAAGTGAGGTATAGCTGAAGTGTTAATAATGAGCAGTGGATTTATTTTACCTTAAGTCCAGACTGTTCAGATTGTTTTTGGAATATTTCTGTGAAACATGTTTTTTAATTCAAAGTGAGATATGCAGTTTCATTTGTTTCCAAAGCTTCCGCTAGAGACCTTTGTCCTACTTGTCACCGAACCAGCTGTAGCTCTTGCAATCTACTGCAGCCTAATGCTCACACAATATGCCCTTTGTACTTAGAACTCCATGTACCCAGAATGTTGAGGGCCAATTTTACTTTGTAACAAAGCAACATTAGTTACTCAGATTCTGACTTTCTCCTCTATATTTCTCCAGAAGGGCTGTCAATCTACTTATTATATGTTTGTACAATCTGGTATTAAAATGCTTTCACCAGAAGATGTTCTGCGAAAAGATCTGAAGTTGGTTCATGGTTGTCCCATGCCTTGTGCTTTTGTGAGCAACTGGGAAAAGATTGAACAGTTTTGTAGTAGACCAGATGACATTGTGATAGCCACTTATCCTAAATCAGGTGAGTTCTGTGGCCTGACAAATTCAAGTCTGACTTCAATTTTTGTTTCCTGGAAATCAGCTTCTCCATAAAATTATTACCATTCTGTGTAAATTTAATATTCATTTAGTGAAGCCATCTACTTTTACTATATTAAAATTGGCATTTGGGGCATAGAAAGGGAAATTAAGTCTGTAATAGTGTGTGTTAAGATGGTAGTGTTTCCAATAGATACTTCCCCCTCTGCTGTGCAATTAGGGTAATGATTTTTTTAAATGTTGCCTTTTGCCACAGGTAATACTTGGATTAGTGAAATTGTAGACATGATTCTTAATGATGGAGATATTGAAAAATGTAAGCGAGATGTTATTACCAAAAAAGTTCCAATGTTGGAAATGTCAGTCCCTGGAGTAAGGACATCAGGTAAATTTAAACCACTTGGAATTATAATTTTGTAATATTATTTACACATCATATGCATTATTGTATGTGTGACTTTGACTGAAACTGGAGTAGATTTGGTAACATAAGATGGAAGTTGATAAACAATATAAAACTGAGGAATATGAAAAAACTTTATTTTCATCTGTTGCATATTCAGGTATGATACCTGCAAAGATACAAAACATGCAAAGATGAAAGACTCTTACTGTAGAAAACAAATGAAAAATTGGTTAATAAAATAAATAATATTCTTTATGTCTTACTAAATTTTGTTGGGTAGAATTTGTCAGATTAGTTCCTAATTTAGAACATTGTTATAATTAATAAATAAGGAAGTAGCAACTCTTCTCGAAACATAGAATTCACTAATATTATTAATTTTTCTTTCAAAAATATTTATGGCTTGCTTGTAAAGATTATTCATGTGCTATGGTATAGATATACAATAATTAGAAATTATATGTGGTATCACATGGAGCTTACAGTAATATTGTAATATTAAAAAGTAAATAATATATCAATGTTATTAGCCTTACATAGCCAAAGAATAGGCTTCTATGGAAGTAAACAATAGAAAAGTTTACTTTACATGGGTATAAAGGAAAAAAAAAAACTTAGACAAATTAAATTTAAAGAGTTTAATTGAGCAAAGGACAATTCAAAAATTGGTTAGCCTCTTTAGCCAAAATAGCCTCAGAGATTCCAGAAAAGCCACATGGTTTATGGGAAGAAGAAATGTAACATACAGAAAACAGAAGTGAGCTACAGAAACAACTGGCTTAGTTACAGCTTAGTGTTTGACTTATTTGAACACAATTTGAAGAGTTGGCCACCTTTGACTGATACTTGGTGATTAACAAGAGAGTAGGTTAGAATCTGTTTACACATCCAGTTAGGTTACAGTTCACTACATGTAGAGAAACCTTTAAGCCAAACTTAAAATGTATAAAAAGACAGCTACAGTTTAAACTTCATTTAACAAGGGGTATCTACTCCAAATTGAGATTAAAGAGTTGTACACACTTGGGGAAAGAATATTCTAGGATACAGTCCTGTAAAACTTATTCCAGAAAGATATTGATGTCGTCCAGGGACTATAAAGATCCATGAAAGAAGGAAAAATTGGGATGTGAAGCAATTGGAAATTAGCCTAGGATAGATGATGTAGAACTTGTAATTCTTAAAATATTCTCTCATTTTTTCCTAAGAACATTGAGGAAGACATTGAAGGGTTTTAGGCAAAGAAAAATTATAGTTTTTGTTGTTTTAAATACAAAGGCTCCACAGGTTGCTTTGCAGAGGTGGAATTGAGGATGCTAGAGAAGATGTATTTTTGACTTGTTCATGGACTGTTACAGAAATATGAAGGAAATGTAAAAATTAAGAAGGACTCTTACCATTTTATTTCCATCAAGCAAGCAGACTGTGGAACCATTTGCTTGCAAGGAAAGTACATGAAGAGGAACACATTTGGGTGTAGGGTTATTAATAATTCAGTTGTGAAATGTTAACTTTGAAATACCATTGGATATTATAATCAGTTAAAAATTTAATGAATTAAAATGATGGTATTTGTTAAAAGATATTTATTAGGCAATGCTCAGCATAATTGGACATTGGAATCAATGTGATTGCCCAGGGAAAGACTGTGGAGCAATATGAGAAGAGCAGGACTGAGCTGTGAAAAACATCAACATGAAGATGATTGGTAGAGAAAGAGGAGTTAGCAAAGGAAATTGAAAAAAAAAAAGCTAGGAGAAAATGAAAGAGTATGGTGTTCTGTAGGTAAATGAGAGAGGTATGCAAGAAGTGAAGCTTGACTCTCAAATGTTGCTGGAATCATCAGATAAAAATAAATAGTAGGATGGTGATAGACCTGTATATCAACAGAAAGAGAAATATCCAAATCCTCTTCTGTAGTGGAGGAGCCCCTCAGCAGGCTGACTGAACTAGTTACTTCCATAGTCAGAGAGGGATCGACTGGGGTTGTCCGTCCTTCTAGGTCATTGCCAGAAATCAGAGAGCAAATGCCAATCTTTTTTTGCTTTGTTTTGTTTAAAAAATACATTCAATTTTTCAGTTACAAATCTAAAATCCCAGTTCTTTCCTAAGCCATTAAGTTCAACTTCAAATATTATTATATTACTTTTATAACAAAAGGAGTTTAATATTCAATCCAAGTAAAATTTAATTAAGATCCTTTAAATACTTAAGTGGCATTTATATAATTAGTGTATTTCATTTCCTTGAGTATTTCATTTATCTGAGCAAGACAAACCTTTCCAAGTACTTTTACTCTATTAAATTAAGCTCATAAATACAGCAAATCCTAATCACTTTAAATGTTCCAAAACTACACAGAAACTTAGCAGTGATTCTACCACTGTATTCCAATCTGAGCAACAGGGAAAGACTCCGTCTCTAAAAAATTTTTAAAAGAAAAATAGAAAGTTAGCAATATTTCAACTTAAAATTCAAGTATAAATACTCAACATTTTTTACTTAGCGTTTCAAAGCAAATCTGCTACTCTCACAAACCTGTTACTCTTACATACGTCAAGGACTTAAAATGCAAACTGCAAAGATTCCTAAAGCAAATGGTTATGATGGGAGTTTGATGTTCTTAAACATGTCTCTACCTTTGGAAAGCTTGGACCTGAGGGATTATGCTGGGGGCAAGGAACTCAAATGAGTTTAAGACTGAGGTAAGACTTCGGAGCCATAGAAAGTATGAAATGAAAAATGACAGAAGCAAAGTAATCAAAGATGTGGGATTCAGGGATAACAAATGAAAGGCAGGATTGGTGATATAGAGGGAGGCTGTGTCACATTGCCTGACAGTGAATAGTTGAAGTCCAGCAGGTAGACAAGGGTAAACTTCAGCATTTAAATCTACTCTAGAGCCTGAATGTGAATAATTGTGTTATCTTTATACATTCCTAACACTCATACTTGTGGATATAAAGAGTTCATTTAAAAGACTCTTGGCAAAATGATTGCAAAACAGGGGAAATTGAGAAATCTTTCAGGGAAGCTGAATGAGGAACAAGGAACAACAGATGTGAGAAAAACTTCTTAAGAGAAACAGATCTAAATTATGTTGTGGGCATTAAGTAATAACAAGTTGTGGAAGATTACAATTTCTCATTTACATATGCTGGGTAAAGGGACTGTAGCTGCTAGATCAGTAGAAGCATAATAAAGTCCCTGGTGGAGTTGTATAGTAATTTTTGCTTACAGTAATTATTGTTTGCAAATAAAATATGTGATAATTAATTAATTTGAAATTCAGATAAATAACCATTTTATTAAGTATAACTACTTTTCAAATGTTGAAAGAAATATTTATGCTAAAAACAACCTGCTATTTATCTGGTAATGCAAATTTAACTGGGATTTTCACATTTTTTAATTTCCTGTCTGCCAAACCTGTCTCTACAGACATTAAATAGATCTTTTGCATACTGACTATGTGCTATTCTGTGGGGACTGCTCCTGTGTGAGGCCCCTAGGAAATGGGCCTCACCATACGGTGAGCTTGAGCCCAGACACAGATCCCTGGTTGGGGGAGTCGAGCTGAGGGAAAGCAGGAACCGAGAGAGGAACTATATGTTATTCAAAATAATTAACAGACATTACTTTATGGATATGAAGACTTGCAAGGCATTTTGACCACTTTCAGCTTCTTATGGTTTATTGCTTGATTGTGTTCATTTTGGACCCTTGTTACCTTCATTGTAAAATATTAACTTAAGTATTTACACTTGGTAACTTACTTACCATAACTTACTGGGTGTAACTGTAACTTACTTACCATAGCTTACAGGGCGTAACTGTAACTTACTTACCATAGCTTACAGGGCATAACTGTAACTTGCCTACAATTGTTAAGTACTTACTGGGCGTAACTTACTTGATGGGTGTAACCGACTTACTGGGCTTAACCTACTTACTGGGCATAACTAAGTGGGCGTAACTTGCTTACTGTAACTTAAGTATGTTGATCTGGCATAAACAACTTTAACTTCAGAAAAGTATATAATGAAACAGATTGCACAAATAAAATTGCTGCTTAGACATAGCCTAAGCCAGCCCTCCAGACTCCACTTTTCTCTTTTCTTTCACTTCCGCACACTCTCTCCCTCAGGTTGAATGAGACATCTACGTTGGTGGTCTTGGGGACTCCTGCAGGTCGGTAGTCCCCCGGCAGATGTGCCGGACCCCAACAGTATTCACTATTCTCTATGGACATTTATTCAAGAACAAAAAAGTTTACATTTCTGCCCTTTTGAAATCTCCATTTTAGTGTGTGTTTAGGAGTGAGGTTGGGGAAGGGACATGGGAACACAGAGTAAACAAACAAATAAGTAAATAAACTATTAAACCAAAGTAGGTTATATAGAACATTAAAAGAAAAATGTTATAATAGACTGAATGACTTTCTTAGCATATGCAGTGAATTATTACAAATATTTAAAACAAACTATTGTTTTCAATGAGTAAGTTAGTTGCAATTTTGTGTGAGTTTGCTTTTATATTCAGAGATGGCAAAAATATGTAAGATTATCAGGTATTCTAGAGTTTAGACTGCATATAATTAATATTGTAAAACAAAAAAGAATGCATGAGAAGTTCATGTATCATCTCTCTTAAGACCTTAATCTGAAACCAAGTTCTACCACATATTTGTTGTGTGACTTTAGAAAGTTAAGGTAACCTCTAAAGATTACACATTTTTACTGTGCATCCATATATGGAGAGACATATGACACATATAGGATATAATGAAAATATAGATACAACAGCTGATAATATATACAAAATTAACATCATCTATGCTGTAGTACCTGCTAAAACACAATAGCCAATTTTAGACTTACTAGTTTTTGATATCACTTTGGCATGCAGAAAACATTTGAAAAGTCATTTATAGCAATGCACAGGTACAATAAAACTCCAAATTATTAAAAGGAGTATTATTGTTTCCCATTTTGGAGACAGGGAAAGTGAAGTACACGGATTCTGAAAAACTTTCAAAGTGGCTCACAATGCTTAAGTGAAAGAGTTAGCATTTGAACTCAGGGAGCTAACCTCAGAATGCGTACCCTTGAATGCTACACAGTACTGCCTCAAGGAATGTGCTGAAATCCCCGTGATTGGTTCAGAATTTAGCTGCATTGTATAATGCTCAAAAATATCTTGAAAAATTGGTTGGCGGCCAGGCGCTGTGGCTCACGCCTATAATCCCAGCACTTTGGGAGGTCAAGGTGGGTGGATCACGAAGTCAAGAGATAAAGACCATCCTGGCCAACATGGTGAAACCACATCTCTACTAAAAATTAAAAAAAAAAAAAATTAGCTGGGCATGGTGGCACAAGCCTGTAGTCCCAGCTACTCAGGAGGCTAAGGCAGGATAATCACTTGAACCCAGGAGGCAGAGGTTGCAGTGAGCAGAGATTGTGGCATTTCACTCCAACCTGGTGACAGAGCGAGACTTTGTCTCAAGAAAAAAAAAAACTGGTTGGCAAAAGAAGGAAATAAGGAAATGTAGCCTCCCTGTAAACTCTAATATATCTATATACTTAACTAAAATTTCTCAGGTGTAGAAGAATTAGAGAAGAATCCATCACCCCGGATTGTGAAAACACATCTACCGACTGATCTTCTTCCTAAGTCTTTCTGGGAGAACAACTGCAAGGTATACTCCAGACTCCAAGTCAGTTTTCCACTGTGGCCCTCTCCCTTTACCCACTCACAGAGTTAATTTTTAAATATATATATATATATATATATATATATTTTTTTTTTTTTAAACCAAATACTTGCAACAATCTATACCCATTGACATTGTACATAAATTTTCAAGTGTCATTTATTTGTGACCAGGAAAACTGAGCTACATTGAAATACTTCAATTGCAAATTAAGTTTCAGTCTGAATTTATATACTCAAGTGTTCCAAACTTGAGCAGCAATAGAATCCAAACCTCAGCAAAATATTACTACTTTTATTCCCTCAACTCTCCCTAGATCTTCAGGCCTTCTGTAAAAACTGAACTTAAGGATGTTAGTTCTTATTTGAAGATTTGGTAATTCTTTGGAAAAATGTTTGTTCCTGCTTATCTACTTTTGGGGAAATTGTATATTTCAAATTCTCTTTCTTTTCTTTTTTTTTTTTTTTTTTAGACAGAGTCTCACTCTGTTGCCCAGGCTGGAGTGCAGTGGTGTGGTGTGATTTCAGCTCACTCCAACTTTCACCTCCCAGGTTCAGGCGATTCTTGTATCTCAGCCTCCCACATGGCTGGGACTACAGGCACGCACCACTATGCCTGGCTAATCTTTTGTATTTTAGTGGAGATTGTGTTTCACCATGTTGGCCAGGCTGGTCTCAAACTCCTGACCTCAGGTGATCCACCCGCCTCGGCCTCCCAAAGTGCTGAGATTACAGGCATGAGCCATCCTGCCGGTCTCAAATTCTGCTTCTTTAATAGCTATTGTGCTATGTAGATTATGTGTTTTTCCTTATCTGACTTTTGACAATTAATGATGTGTGAGAAATTTTTTAAGTTGTTGACTTTATGAATTAAAAGTTGTTTAGTTTATGAATTAAAAGTTGTTCATATTATACTCATTATTATTTTAATGGCTGCGGGCTTTGTTCTGATACCTTAGTTTGCTCCTGGTCTGCTTATTTGTGCCTTCTCTCTCGTCTTTGTCAGTCTTGCCATAATTGTATTACTTTTATTGATTTTTAAAGCTAGTTATTTGTTTTTTTATTTATTTCTGTTGTTTATCTGTTTTTGGTTTCATAGATTACCACTTTTTTTCTCTATTGTTTCTCTCCATCTACTTGCTTCAGGTTTATTTTACTCTCCTTTTTCTAATATCTTTAAGTAGGAACTGAGATTATTGATTTGTTTCTTTACTCTTTTCTAAAATAAACATTTAGTTTTGTAAATATCTTTCCTCAGTACAGCTTTAGTTGCAGCCCCAAAATTTTGATATGTCATCCTTTCAGTTGCACTCAGTGCTAGGCATATTTTCATTTTATTTGAAATTTCATTTATTGCAAGATTTTGAAGGGTTTAATTTAATTTCTAAGTGTTTGAGGACTTTTGTTTTCCTTTTCTACTGATTTCTAGTTTTATTCCATTTTAGTCAAAGACCATACTCCACGTCATTGAAATTTTTTCACATTTCTTATGGTTCATCTTGTTCTATCTTGGCAAATGTTACATGAGCACTTGAGCAGGCTGTGTATTATTCTTTGTAGGTGAATGTATTCTCTATATTTTTATTACATCTTCTTGAGCATAAGGTCATTCAGTTCTTTTACGTCCTTTCTTGTTTTCTTTCTAGCAATTCTATTAATTGCCTGAGAGTGGATTGTAAACATGCCCAACTATGACTATTGTTTGTTTATTCCTACTTCAGCTATTTTGGCTTTCATTTCATGTGTTTTGAAGTTCTGCTGTTTGCTGTTTGGAATTCAGAATTGCTTTGTCTTCTTAACAGATTAGTACTATTATCATTATATAATGTCCCTTGAAATTTTTTTGAACTGAAGTCTATTTGTCTTGTATTAATATAGCTACTCCTAGTTTTTACTGATTAATGCTTGCATTACATTTTTTTCTATTCTTTTATACTCAATGTATCATTGTCATTTTGTTTGAATTGTGTCTTTTGGACAGCATATGGCTGAGTTTCATTTTCATACACTCAGCCAATTTTTGTCTTTTGATTCATGTGTGTATATTATATAAATTTAAAGTAGTTAGAGGGTAGAGCCAAGTTGGTTGACCATATGAATTATGGAAGAGCTTCTCACACTAAAAAAGACCAGAATATCAAGTAGACTGGCAAACTCCAAACAGATCTTTGGATAAAAGCCATTAAGAGTGAATAGAGGGAGAATGCAGACCCCAGAGCTAAAAGGGGAGGAATCTAGGAATCCTGCATAGGGTTGTTGAGCACTGTAACTCATTCCAGGCCCTGCACGGCTCATAGAAAAGGAGTGAGTGAAACAGGCATGGAGTAGCCCACTCTTACCATGGACCTCTAGGATCCTAGCTGAAGGAGACTCCGTGACACCTAGAGACATTTTAGTTGGCAGGGAGAACTTCCCAGAGAATTGGCAGAGACAGTACTCTACTCTGTGTGGAGCAGAGGGTTTGGCGCAGGAATAGCTGCAGTGGAGCATAGCCATAATTGCCCATCCCTCAAGGCTCCATATTTCTTTAGGTGGCTTTAGCTTTTGTTAGCTCACAGATGTGGAGAAATCAGGCCTGTATTGCACATGGGTCTGGGCCAGTCTGGACCACTCCTCTCTGTGCTAGCTTCCACTAGGGTCCCTGCATAGCCATACTCGCTTAGTGCACAGCCTCAGCTGCCCTGCCAAAGCTCTTGCCAGCAGTGGCTGTCATAGTTCTTCAGTTATCAGCTCCTAACTTCCAGTTTTTCATTTTTGCATATGGATCCCTACTGGTACAGATCCACCTTCAGCCTCTCCCGTCAGTGCACAGTAACCTAAAGCCTACCCCTGCTAACCTGTGAGCCAGTGCACACTCATGGTTGCCCCATCACTACACATGTGCCTCTGGCCCCCTGCTGCCCTGTTGGATTACACTCTCCCATGTTGTCTCCACTGCTCGACTGAAGCTCTTTTACCAGCAACCTTGATTGGAATGTTGTTGCTAGTAGACTGGAAACACATCAGCACCTCCAGCAGAGCAGATGTTTGACCACAAGGGGCCACGGAACAAAGCCACAGGTCTTGTTCTAGTTCCCCAGAGACAGAGCCCTTTTCCCTAGAGTGCTGAATTAAGCCTTGGTCCCCTAAAAGCATCCAAAAAGGAAAACAATCTAATAAACCCAAATTTACACTATAGTCAAAACCTTAAGGGCAATAAATAACATAAAAGCAAAAAGCACCATCGGAAAAAAAAAGTAACTTCAAAGATTAAAGAAACATTAGTTGAGACAGATGAGAAACAAACAGCTCAAGAATTCTGGCAACTTTAAAAACCAGAGTGTCTTCTTGCCTGCAAATGACTTAACTAGCTCGCCAGCAATAGTTCTTAACCTGACTGAAATTGTTAAAATGCAGACATAGAATTCAGAATCTAGATGTCAAGAAAACTCAATGAAATACAGAAGAAGGTTGAAACCCAATCCAAGGAAAACAGTAAAACTGACCAAGAGTAGAAAGACAGCATAGACACAATAAGAAAGAACAAAACTGAACTTCTGGAAATAAAAAAATTCACACTAAAGAAATTTCATAATACAATGGAAAACATTAATAATAGAACAGACCAAGCTGAGCAAAGAGTATCAGAGATGGAAGGCTGTTGCTTTGAATCAATGTAGATAGACAAAAAAAAGAATTAAAAAAATGAACAAAACCTCCAAGAAATATAGGATTCTATAGACACCAAACCAGTGACTCACTGGAATTCCTAAAAGAGAGTTCAATTAACTTGAAAAACATATTGGAGGGTATTGTCAATAAAAACTTTTTCAACCTTGCTAGAGAAGTCAACACGCAAATTCAGGAAATTCAGAGAACCCCAAAAAGATATTCTATAACACAACGATTCTTAAAATAGAGAGTGAAAGGTCTCCAAGGTCAATGTGAATAAGAAATCTTAAAGACAGCTAGGGAAAGGGGCAGGTCATATACATAGGGAACTGTACCAGGCTAACAGTGAACTATTCAGCAGAAATCTTACAAGTCAGAAGAGATTGGGGACCTGTGTTCTGTATTCCTGAAAAAAGGAAATTCCAACCAAGAATTTCATATTCAGTCAAACTGCTTCAAAAGTGATTAACAAATAAAATCCTTTTTAGAAAAGGAAATACTAAAGGAATCCATTCTCACCAGACTTGCCTTCCTAGAGGTCCTTAAGGAAGTACTAAACATGGAAACAAAAGACAAACCAGCCACCATAAAAACATACCAAAATACACAGAACATTAGTAGTACAAATCAATTACATAATCAGGTTTACATAATAACCATCTAACAGCACATATGTATTGACATATGTATTTTGATTTGGAATATAAATGGGCTAAATGAGCAACTTAAAAGGGACAAAATGGCAAGTTGGATAAAGAAGCAAGACCCGGCCGGGCGCGGTGGCTTACGCCTGTAATCCCAGCACTTTGGGAGGCCAAGGCGGGTGGATCACGAGGTCAAGAAATCAAGACCATCCTGGTCACCATTGTGAAACCCCGTCTCTACTAAAAATACAAAAAATTAGCTGGGCATGGTGGCGCATGCCTGTAATCCCAGCTACTCAGGAGGCTGAGGTAGGAGAATTGCCTGAACCCAGGAGGCGGAGGTTGTGGTGAGCCGAGGTCACGCCATTGCACTCCAGCCTGGGTAACAGGAGCAAAACTCTGTCTCAAAAAAAAAAAAAAGGAAGCAAGACCCAACTCTGCTACCTTCAAACTTCAAGAGACTCATCTCACATTCAGCAACATCCATAGTCTCAAAGTAAAGAGACTATGGAGAAATATATATTAAACAAACAAAGAAGAAAAAAAGCAGGAATTGCTAGTCTTATTTCAGAAAAAACGAGGCTTTAAACCAACCATCAAAAAGGACAAAGAAGAGTATTATAAAATGAAAACAGGTTCTAGTCAGCAAGAAGATGTAACTATTCTAAATACATATGCACCCAACTTTAGA